CACATTAACGAGTCTATTCGATCAAATCATAAGGAACAAGATATGCCTCGCGAGTACGCCAGCACGACGATCCCGATATGGAAGAACAAAGGAGATAGACTACGCATTCCACCGACTAATCCGACAGATGAGCCGCACTCTAAAAGTCTTTGAGCGAATGGATGAAAGGGGTCTTCGATATAATTATAAAGTTGTCACCGAATCAGTGCGGATTTGTGAAAAAAGTGGGTACGACCGACGCAATCCACTCCGCTCCGATAGTGATGGAGAAATATAGAGAGAAGCAGAAGAAGTTGCAGGCAGCTTTCCTTGACCTGGAGAAAGGCTTCGACAAGGTGCCCCACGAAGTCACATGGTGGGCCTTACGGAAACACAGGGTGCCACAGGAGTACGTTCAGTGGATAGAGTTGATCTGCTGCAGGGCAATCGAAAGCCCACCAAATCAAGGTTGGAATACACCAAGGTTCAGTTCTCTCTCCCTTGCTCTTTATCACTGTGATAATTCCGTGATGGAATTGCTTAAACGTAAACCTCCTTAGACACTTCTCTAAGCAGTTGATGTGGTACCAGAAAGGAGCCACAAGACGATGTACAAAACTGGAAGAATAGGTCAGAGTTGTATGGCCTGAAGCTCAACACCAGGAAGACAGAATATATGGAAGTGGGCAAACAAACTCCCGGTACCATCGTCATACAGTACCTAGGCAGTCACATCTCAACGGAGGGAGGCTTACAAGAGGTCGCAAGCAGTATGAACACAGCATGAATGAAATAGAGAGCCTTGATAGGAGTCATGTGCGCAAAAGAATGCCAGTACATTTTAAGTTTCAACTGTGCTAAAGCGTCATCCGTCCAGCAGCACTGTACGGCAGTGAGTCTGGCCTTGTACGCAAGACGAGGAGCGCAAGCTCCGCGTCATGGAAACAAGGATGCTACGATGGACCTTAGGAGTCACACTGAAGGATCACATTTGCAATGCCACTGTACGAGAGCAAATGAAAGTAGCTCCACTGCTCAAAAAATGCAGGAAAAGAGGTTACGATGATATAGGCATGTGCACAGAAGGGACGAAAGTGTGAAAGTCACATCACTAAGTCAGCGTTGGCTGTGGAGGCACCAGGCAAAAGGCCCAGAGGTAGACCCAAAATGAGATGGATGGACAGAATCAAGGCCGACTTGCGAGAACTTAGTATTCACAAAGATATTGCTCTAAACAGGGCGAAGTGGAGACAACTGGCAAGAAAAGCAGACCCTGCATAAGTGGGACACTTGCGAGGATAAAAAAATCTGTATTTGATAAAAATTCTCGAAGGTTTATGCTCATTCTAAAAAGACCATTCGTGCTTTGATGGCTTCCTCATTTAGATTTTTTTCCGTTTGTGCTGTGAGATTGAGATTGTCAACGTAAAGATTTTTGAGAATTTCCTTTGCAAGCTGTTGATGGTGCTCCAAGCCATAACTGCCATTTTAGCCAATAAGAACGGTGGAACATTTAATCCGAATGTTACTCGAGCAAATCTGAAACCAATGATGTTGCTCTCCTCTATCGGAAGGTTGATATTCCGTATCCATAAGAATCCTCGTAGCGTCTCCATCTAACTCATGAAGGCAAACTTGTAAAAACGGCTTCTCCGTCCGATGTAGCCACATAGGGTGTTATCCGAAAGCGAAGCAGCTTTGCATATAGTACTGGAAGGTTGAGTGGACCTTGATAGAAAACATCATTTAGTGATGGACTATCCTTGAAATGAGACGAAGCGTCAAATGCTATGCGAAGTTTCGTCGTTTTTTTGTGTGGCGTAATCACAGGTTGATAGCTGCACTACTTATCACATCAACCTGCGATTACGCCACACAAAAAAACGGCGAAACTTCGCATAGCATTTGACGCTTCGTCTCATTTCAAGGACAGTCCATCACCGAATGAGAAGAAGCGTCAAATGCTAAGCGAAGTTTCGTCGTTTCTTTTGTGTTGCGTGATCACAGGTCGATGTGGTAAATTGTGCAAATGTTCTCCACAAAATGGTTCATTGCTGGAAATCTTTTAGATTATTCTTTTTTCCAACTGGTCTGTCTTGTTTTATCGTGTGCTTAAAACAAACCTAAATCAGCTTTCAGTCTGCGTAGAATTCCCTTGTTTTTTCGCTATGGCTCTATTATCCGATAGTTGGGAATGTGGTCCTTCTTGAACGGCAATCGTACATAGTAAACGCCGTTGCATCTCTGTATTGTATCCTCAAAAAAAAAACCTCGCAACTCTTGCGTTGGTAACCTCCTTCTCTGCATCCATTGTACCTCTGTGGCCGTATTCATCAACGAACCCTCGAGGTTAAAAGTTACCTCAGCTAGCATTCTAGTTTATAACCCGTATTCACAACATGATCGCAATGAAATTCTCTCATGGGTTAAGTCTACCTTGAGGTAGAAATGAACCTTCAAACGCATAAACCCGTATTCATCATTCTACCTTGAGGTTGAATTTTACCTCAATCATCAACTTTCTATTATGCTTTCAAGGTAGAATTTCACCCTAGGATAGCTAGGGTGAAAATCTACCTTGAATTTGCACATAAGAGTTGAACTCTTTCTAAGGACCTCCTTAATTCTAACGGAACTGTTTTCAAAGACGAATATGTTATACTCCTATAGCTCAAATTTTGCTTGTTTACTCAGTCTATTGTCTTTTCATCTAATCACGGTTCCTGAAAGTCAATTCTTTGAGATTTATTAAGTGATTATTAATGGGCTAAGCATCGAAATAGTCAACGCCAAGTGCGCACCCGGTGATCTGCAACTCAAGCGAGATCCTACCCCGCCGAGAAAACTTTGTGCAACTGTAGCGTTAATACTGCTTAGCCTCACTAGATGAGAATAACGCTATTCGACTCACTAGTTCAATGTTGACATATCAACTAAACTACGCAGACATTTTTATTGGGGGAACAAAATCAACTTTAGATCTTTACATCAAATAGGAGTAGTAGTACTAAGCAACTTTAATCATAAAAAAAAGAGGAAGAAAACTAAAAGTTAGAAGAACGATACTCGATCTGGGAAGGCTATGCCATGGGTGAAAAAGTTAAGTGAATCAAAACAAATGGAAACAATCAACGAAGATGTTTGAACTATAGGAATAAAAAACATCAATAAAATGAGGTTCAGACGGAGCAAGACGTAACAAAAAATTTCAAAGTTAACACCCTTCTCACTTTCGCTATTGCTATCATAAAGAGCAATATCCAGAGTTGTTGTTTCACTGCATTTGCACGTTTCTTTTTCCGAATCCCGATACAGCATTTGCAAACAGCTCAGATATTTTAAATGGTTTCAAATTGAAAACATAGGGAAATTTAGTTTTTAATTTATTTTATTTCTTTTTTATAATCTTATATATAAAGCTGAATGTGTGTCTGTCTGTCTGTATGTCTGTCTGTCTGTACGTATGTGCGGAATAGAAATTTTTATTTTTGAACCGATCGGGACCAAACTTGGCACACATATACTTTGGGGCAGGGAGCGTGTCATAGGCTACTTTTCGTTATCGATCGATATCGATTTTATCGATTTTTTGCAAAATTTGAGCTAGGGGGCTGGGATTTTGCACAGGGGGGTAATCGAACATGCTGATCACCCCCGTGGGGGTGATCAGCATGTTCGATTACCCCCCTGTGCAAAATCCCAGCCCCGTAGCTCAAAATTTGCAAAAAATCGGTGAAATCGACATCGATCGATAACGAAAAGTGGACTATGACACGCTCCCTGTCCCGAAGTGTATGTGTGCAAAGTTTGGCCCCGGGCGGAGCCGGGTTTGCCATCTAGTGGAGAATAAAGAACATATAGAAACTATGCTAGCGCCAGAAAATGTAGAAAAGCTCCAAACACGACGTGAGGCAATCTCAGGTCGTACGAGAACCATTTTCAGGCAGAGGTCTCAGAAACAACTTTTAGGTATAAAATTTGAGAAAAAAGAAAGTGATCATATCAACTTTTCAAAACTGCTTGTGTGAGATAAGCGATCTTGTGTTCATTCCTATGTGAAAAATCTCTCGATAATAAGTCTGCGCATATCAGCGCCTTCCCCCACTCTGGGATATCCGGTTCACTGTCACTGGCATCGAGATATTGTTGTGGCAGTTCTTCATCCTCACTAAAGGGTCTTTCTCTAGTTTTGATGCAGTAGTTTCTCACGCAACACACGAAAACGATTATCTTAGCGACACGGGTGAGATCATGCCTGAGTCATGGTTTTAAGATGCTTGCTCGTGCCCGCGCACCTTAGTTCTGTGTGTAACGACGAAAGCTGCCTTTCTAACGCAGATCTAATCCAAACGCATTCTCTATAATAATCCTGCCTCTACAAAGTGCTTCCGTAAATCGTGCTTCTAGAATTGTTCCTTTCCAAAAGATCGAATGCTAGTTGGTTATGAAGTGGCCAACGTTTTGTCATCTCTTGATATGGGCTTTAGAAAAAATCTTTCCGAACTATATGCGCTATCTCCAAGGAGAATGCCTGTCTTTCTTCCTATCACAAAATCCCTGTTTAGTGCACTGCTACGGAATATCTGAAAAATAAGTTGACTGTGAAGTGCCAGAAGAGCGGCAAGTTTTGTCGATTACGCGAGATCGTGAACTCGCCCTGGTAAGAATTAACCAGTAAAACGGTGTATAGTATCACATATTGTTCTCATATTTACAGAATGGAAGGTTTTTCTGAATGTGTGAAGCTGATTGCATGTTTTCATTGTCAACTGGATCTTGTCTGTTGACGTAGTTGTTTTCGCATACTCTTGGCGCCAGAATTTTTATATGGGGACCGTCCAAAGCTCCGATGACATAGGGAATCCTACATCCTACATAACTCATAAAATCTAAAACATAGCCTACAGTGCAATAAGTGCATAATCCAACTATTTCTTTGGATGTTGCATTGCTCTTTTTTATTTGGTTATTTGATAAACTCGTTTTTTCTTCGATATAACACATCCGATACCTGCTCGATAATGCAGGAGACTGTCGGCTGTGAACAGCTTAAGGTAATGACTGTTTTCCTCTGAAGTTACAATGTGATGGAGCCACATTCTGTAAGCAGATATGTGTACCTGCATATTAGCGCTTCCCACATGTTCTAGGAAGATGGCAAGTTTATGACAGCTCGAAATCGACGCAGTCCTTGTTGTCGAGTGATAAATCTTCGTGCAACAACGCTAGTAAATGATAAAATCCACATCGACTTGGACGAAAACGCCCTCTGAATTCCCTGTCGTCGAGCAAATCTAGCGGGTCAACTCTATTGCGGAATACGCGAGGAACCGCCGCATTGATTAAGAAATCAAAGATTTCTCTCTATCTCCATAATCTAAATGAGTCTGAAATAGTTATGATGGTAACTGAAGTACAGGGCCATATAAATATAGTAAGAGCCAAACTCCTGCAGTGCATAAGAATGTTCTTGAGAAACATTACTTGAAAAAGACACGATTACAACACCATAATATTATGGTAAACACTACAACCCAATATTTTGCAGCTTTTGAAATTTCACTTGCTTTCAATTTCACTTTTCACATTCACTTGCTTTCGGAGTAACCTTAGCCCTTTTTAATTTCATTCTTATTTTCCTCTATACTTTCTCTCGAGCGTAATGCAGGCCCGAGATTTGTGCTCTTTCTACTCCAATCATTTATTAGGTACTGGAAAACACTTTTGCTTAATTTAAATTTAATAGCTAGTAATATCTAATTACAATAGCTCGAAAAGAAAAGTCATGCTTCTACTGGACTTCAACTTTTTTTATAAAGGGTAATGAGCTTTTTATGTAAAAACGCCGCTTCGATTCATTTTTTGGCTTATTTCTTTGCGACATCTGAATTTTATAATTACTTCTTTGGATAATGCACTTGTCTGGTTCTTGTGACATCAACTATATAAGTCAGCATTTTGTCCGACATAGAGAAGTAGCGAAAGTAAATGTGTAAACTATTTTATCAACACGATGATACGTTCAAGCTAAGGTGAGAGATCTATGAATCTACATGGGAGGCTAACTTGAGGTAGGTTGCGACATAACATTCACTTAGGCGTGCTATGACGTGTATATGGTCTAATAGAACAACTTCTGCCTCACTAAATCCTTTTACGAGCTTGAATAATTGAACTTCAATAAAAGTAGTTTTATCTATCTATTAGATGTGTATATTTTGCGTGCAATTGGCTTTTACTACCTTTTACTTTTACCTTATCATATCTCATATCGTGTTCTTCACTTGAAACCACGTTAACGAAGCTGGAAGCCAAGTTGGCTTGGGGAGATTATCAAAGCGTCGCTTAACAAACCTAATCATTCGTGACTCTTCTTATCAAGTTTCAGTTGGGCTCTTTTTCGTTGGTGGGTTTTTTGACTTTTTTAAGGTCAGTAAAGTTGCTTGAAATCAACCAGATTAATGCAACATATAAACAAATTCAAATTAACATCACATACTAATTTTTCTCCATGTTCTGTCCGATTTGCGTATTTTATGAGTATATTATGAGTATAAATAGTATAGTAAAAGAATTAGAATAACTCTAAGTTTTGTGATAACTGCTTTTCTTATCTTGTTTGTGCTTCAAACCTTATTCGCAAGTCCTCTACCACAAAAATTATTTGGTTCTCTCCTTCTAACTCACCGCAAATTATCTCAGACTTTTCTGTTTATCTCCTCCTCTTTATTTACACCTTAACCCAATGAGTTGTAAATCTGTTTAATGTAAATTAGCAGCCTCCCCCTTAACCCAATGAGTTGTAAATCTGTTTAATGTGAATTAGCAGCCTCCCATGCAGATTTTGTAGTTTTTTTTTAAGTGAGATGTCCCAAACAAAGAAACCGAGAGTTGACCGAAACGCCGTTTTTACAGAAGCGGAGAGTAAGAAGCTGATTGCCCTTTATTTAGAAAATAGGGATCAATTCCATGGAAAATTCAAATCCGGTAAATGCATGACCCTTCTTGCCAAGTTCTTGTTGATGGATAATCATCATTAGGCAGTAAATCAGGCGAAAATGTCCGCCAGAACCTACTAAATGATTGGAGCATAGAAATTACGAATCTTGGACCGAGTCTCTATAGAAGAAGAAATACAAGGGGACAGGCGGAGGTGTATATAACTTGCTGAAATTGCCATCATATCTTCATCCGCTCGTAGAAGCTCTTGCGGAAAAGCACCATATTGCCGGAGTACCCGGTTTAGGTGAGGAGTTATACAAAACTGACTCTTCTCAATTAGCTTGAAAAATGCTTCAGATCAAGAATTGGATGGCGAGCTCGAATATAAGTCTGACGATGCACTTGCTCCGAACGGGTTAGGAATAAGGTATAGGGTTTTGCCAGATTGTGAAGGTTGTATCGGCTGCGGACATTGGTCACGCAGTACGCAACAAGGTACTGAAACACAGAACAGCGACTAATCTGAGGCAGAAAGTAGTTTGAGAGGCAAAAGAAATGTAAGCTGTTTTTGCGGGCGTACTGTGTAAGCAATGTCCACAAACTCATCGACTTTAACTCAAGCATAGCCTTATATGCTCTCAATCATTTCAGTTTCGGGCCAATCACATTTCAGAGATGTAACTGGGGAAGAAGAAGAGGTTGTTTTGGATGACTCACCTGAAACATTTGAGGAAGGTCGTAAAAAACCAGCAACAACCGACCTGGCATTATCAAAACCTAAGAGCATTGCAGCGTTAGTTATCAAAAACCGTCGTGATTCAGGTTGTAGGAGATTTTTCAGTAAAGCTCGTGAAGCTCTCTCGCTCTTTACCGACAAGCGCTCGCTACTTTATGACGAAGAAATAAAGCTGGCACGTTTGAAACAGCGGAAAGTTCAAATTGAAATTCGTGTGGCTGAGCTAAAAATGGAGGAAGCTAGACTTCTAGTAGAAACCGCAAAGGCGAATCTTCCCCGTAGCACCACTAATGATCTCCCTTACCCACAATTTTATAGTCTATAACACAGATTTCAATCGGAATCCCATGTTGTTGTGATTTCAAAAGCTGCAAAATATTGTCTTGAAGTGTTTACCATAATATTATGCTGTTGTAATCGTGTATTTCTCAAGTAATGTTTTATTCGAGAACATTCTTATTCACTTTGAGTAGGAGTCTGTCTCTTACTATATTTATATGTACTTCAGTTACCATGATAACTATTTCAGAGTCATTTAGAACATGGAAGATAGTGAGAGAGAAATCTTTGATTTCTTAATCAATGCGGCGGTTCCTCGCGTATTCCGCAATAGAGTTGACCCGCTAGATTTGCTCGATGACAGCAAATTCAGAGAACGTTTTCGACTAAGTCGACGTGGCTTCTATAGTTTACTAGCGCTGCTACATGAAGATTTATGTCCTTCGACCACAAGGACTGCTTCGATCTCGAGCTGTCATAAGCTCGCCATTTTTCTAGAACATGTAGGAAGCGCTAATATGCAGGTACACATATTTACTTACAGAATGTGGCTGCGTCAAATTGTAACTTCAGCGCACAACTCTTTTTTCTTTTTTCTCTTCTTTCTTTCACAACTCTCTCTCTTCATTCGCACTCACAACTCTCACTCTCTCCTTTCTTCCATTGATAAACGTTCATCTAACAAGGGAAAGATATTTGTTCACCGCGGCCATTCATAATGAGTTGTATATCAAAAAATGCGCCTTTCAATGCTGGTTCGAATACTGTTTCTCATATCTGCGAAACTATAATCTGGATGAGTTGTGATTATTTTTCCATGAATAAACTGCGTTAACGCGAAGGGTCAAATTCATCAGAAAAAAATTTTCTTTCCTTTTCAAGTGCTGAATATGATTTAGATAGGTATGATACAACAGTATTTTTTTGAGATTCTCTTCAATAGCTTCAAATGGTAACTTGGAACAAATTTGGTGATTTTAACTACACAAAGTACGCAAATTTTCTATGAAAAAATTATAACTTCCTTCAGAAGATCGTTTTGCAGATTTCAAGCACAGATTTGGAATCAGTGTTTCGAGGTGCATCTTATACTATACATCGCATTCCAAATGGCGACGGTAACCGAGTATCCTTTCTTTGTAAGACTATAATGGATTCTTCATTTGCCATTCTTCTTCCACCATTCCTGTGCTGAGGTAATGTTGAAGCACTTTGCGCTGAACATTGAACTTAGACAGAAGCTTCTGCGAAGCGTATGAACCATCCAGATAGACTCCATGCGCTTCAAGCTGTGACACCAGCGTATGATATTTCCCAGCAGCCGACGTTGAGACACCATTCTCGTGTCATCAGCACGAACTTGCTTGAGACGAAGCTGAAGCTTGTTGATAAGTCTTGTTTTGTCTCCGTATTTGCGATGTGGCATAGCAACCTCTTCGTCTTAATTATCCTCGGTAAAAATGAAGCGACAAATATCCGCGGGCACCCCTTGTAGAGAGTTTAGGTAGTTGCACTTTTGTGCTGAGCGGCTGCTTCTCTACGTTGGCTTGAAACAATCTCCAGATGTTCTCAAACTCCCACAATTCACCCGAAAATGTGGGAACTGCAATGGCTGGTAATTCTGGCCTTGTTGATTCTAAGTTTCCCACCGATGTGCCGAGAGCAGCTGTGTTAGAGTTTCTTGCGTTTTTGCGTTCAAGACTTTTCCTTAAAGAGCAAAGTTGAATTGTGACAGTTTCGGCATGGTCAATCGCTGCCTGAGCCTTCTTCAGATGATCTTGTATCTCCTGATCTTGCTCCTCTATCATCTCACTCATAGAATCCACAACCTTCGCAAATTCGACAGGCTTGTCAAAGTAACCTTTTCATTTCTTCCAATTCTATCGCCTTGTTTTGAATGCCGTATCCTTTTCATCGTTAAGACTCTTCTTTGCCGCCTCACATTCCTCTACTTATTTGAGACTGCGGAATGCCGAGTCAATAGCGCTTTTGCTACTGCAAATCAGTACCTCTAACCACTGGGTAAAATTGCCTAGATACTGTAAATTCTTGCTCCCGTGTTCCTGACTATGTGCTTGTTCTCAAGATCTTGTTTCAGAATCGACCTTTTATCTTTGACGTTTTCTGTGAAAAGAAAAACCCACGCTGGTATATAACAGCTGCTCCTTGTCCTGGTTCTTTTCATTGACGAGAGCCGATGCACCATAAGGTGGTGGTTTAGTGCCGATTACCCTGCTTCTGCCGTTCAAACTGTCATGTCCAAACACCAGCAATGTTTTATCGGGGCGAATTCATAAGAAGAGATCATTACCCAAAAGGCAATGGATAAAGCATCGTAAACAAAAACCCATTTCTACACTACAGCACTGTCTGCTGGTTTCTCTCGATCGCGGTCCGCGTCGTTGTTAATGTTGTTGCTGACTATAAGGTCGCTGAAGCGGAAGTTGGTTCTATTTCGCTAATGGTCTTTCCGGTACTCCTCGTCGTGCGATGAATCTCTTGAATGTGAGAAGAAAGCTTTTTGAGGAGAGGTTTTTAGTTACTTCCAGGTGTACTGAACAAGCGATTAAGCATGTGTCTAATGCCATGTAGCGCCTCTCATCTAGTCTTTGGCGCCTTGATTAGTATCGGCCCCATAAAGTCGACTTCCGTGTGGGCAAATGGCTTGACATGAATCACTTTTTATTTTGAAAAAGAACCCTCGTCTTTTGGATATGCGAATGAATTTCTTGCAAGTAGTGCAAGTGCGCAGGATTTTTTTGCAAAACACTCTGTCGCGTGGTATCCAGGATCGTTGACGAATTTCGCAAAGAAGCTGGTTGCTTCCACAATGAGCCATATGCTGATGAATACAATCGGCAATCTTAAGTCTTGATAAACTTTGTTTGGGTATGTACATAAGATTAGCCGTTTTGGATTGGATATCAGCACGTTGTATGCGTCCACATCTTCATAGAATTCAATCGCTATCGTAGGCAGTCTTGAATTGTTTGTTTTTAGAGAAGAAAGCAGTGGCGTAGGTTCCGCTGCTTTTGCAATACGGTGTTTTTCAGCAAGGATAACTTCAGATGTAATCGGCAAGCGGCTTTCCATCTGGTCTTCACCTGCGACTTCAAAGCGGGTGTTTTTGCTTGCCATGCGGATGAAACGGATACAGTATGCCGCAATCCTCTTCAATTAGAGGCAGCTGCTTATTGCAGCGATCCAGTTGGTATCGCTTTTGTTGAGATCCTCTGTGATTTGATGAGTGAGCGTTTTGCATTCGTCATCATTATTATCCTTGACGTCACTTACGTGACGTAACGGCATTTCAACGTTGGAATGGTTTAGCCAATTTGGCCTTTCCACCATCTGGCGGTGAAATCTTTCTTGTTGATTACTCTTGTTGCACAATCCGCTGCATTCTCTTTTGTTGGCACGTGGAAAAAATTGAGTGTGGCAATTTCTCGTATACTTTTCGCAGCAAAGCTGATTTTTTGGACCAATGTGGTTACGATTGGAGGATACTTTTGTCACTACTTGTCTATGATAACGCGATTATGGAGTCACTAAACAAGTTGATTTTTATGAATTTGACTCCGCACTTGGACATGGTTCTTTCAGCCACAAATATTTCAAGGAATATTGACAGTAGTTCCAGCCTTGGAATAGTTTATTCCTTCTTGATGGGTGCAACTTTCGCTTTTGCTTTGAAGAGTGATGTGTTCTTTATGCTATCTTTCATTGATGTAATAGCGTGAAAACAACAGGCCTAAGCTCGTTTGGAACTATCGGCAAATATAGAGAGCATTTATTAAGAGTTTTATTCTTGTCTAAGACTGTGCGCGGTACGGCTTTCTTGAATCCGACGATGTCATCCTTGATGGCCTTCCCTCTTTGAATTTGCTCCTCAGGAAGAATGCTGTCCCATCTTAACTTTTGATGTGTAAATCCTGTAGGAATATCTTTGCCACCATCAATGGTGTAAGCAGTCCAAGTGGGTCAAAAGTCCGTTTACGTGGCTAAGTACAGATCTTTTGGTGGTCTTGACTCTTGCTCTTTGTCTGCACATTCCATGATCAAGGTGTCATCATCAGGTTTCCACTTGACCCTTACTTCGCTTTTTGCTCTGTCCACGTCCTTGATTTGTGCGTACTTCAGCAGAATCTGACAAGCAGTCGCGAAGATTCATGCCAATGGGAGAGAACACTTGTTTTGAAAAAGTGTATTTTTCTATCAGTTCTTGCGGGCTGTTGCTTTTAGTAGCACATTGTCGAGATACAGAGATCTAAATAGTTCTTTTCCAATCGGGGTGTCGTCCTCTTCGATGTGCCTTGTATAGGCTGATTCAATATAGGGTGCATTTATTCCAAAAGGTATTCTAGAGGCGATAATATTTGGCGTTGTCGCCCTCGGGTGGTGTCCAGGTCCTTGACCCATAAAAATTTTGTCGCATCTCAATAATCTTTGAAAAGACGTATTTGTAAAAAACCTTTTGGCTATTTACCACAACTGTATGTTTGTACATGCGTAAGAGCAGTAGACTTCACGGATTAAGGGCGTGAGGGCATGCTCTTCAAATATGACGTCATTGAGACTCCGCTCGTTTTTTATCGTGAAATAAAACATCGAAGACAATCAGAAGTTCGATTGCTTTTCCAGGTGTCCAGACATGTCAATGTGGGGTAAAAGGATCTTACTCCAGCTCTTGTGAGGTAATTCCTCAATAATTCCAATATACTCAATATTACCTTCTGAGTTAGAAGGTAATGAGGTTTGACTCTAAACATCCAAAAAAGTGATAGAAAGTTTACTAGTCTAGCAAAAAAATTCTAACTTTTTGCTCTTTATTTAATTTGTTTATCCATTCAACGTCACTTACATGACTAGATGTTGCCTCTGACGTATAAGTTTGTAATGCAAGCATCGGAATCTTTACAAAGTGTTTCATCACAAAATTTTATTTCACATTCACAAGCCATCTTGATAAAATTATACATCTGTAATTTGGAAAGAAAAATGTTGAGCAGACATAGTTCATTAAACATCGCGCGTCCTCCTTACACT